GGCCTTGCCTCAGTTTCTTCCCAGTCCAGGCCTTGCCTTAGAATGGGAGGCAGCATCCTTACCAGCTTGTGTTGCCTGCATGGCCCCGTCATCTTATGGAATTCCATATGACCAGATGTCAGGTCACTGTGGATTGGCTTCATGAGGGCATCTTGATTTTCAGACCAAAACTGTAGGAAGACATTGAGGGAGAGTAAGATAAAAACGTTCAGAAGTGACCTTCTATGCTTTGTTTTCCAGTGTTAAGGAGTTTTGTCTTTTCTTAAGTTGTGAACAGGTCTATGTACCTACTATTTAAACAGAATCCCAACCTGTTTCCTGGCTTTAAGTATTAAGCAAAGTTTGCTTAACATTTTTTTATTTTGATTTATTAAAGCTAAAACTGCCTTTCTTGAAAAAAAAGAAAGAAAGAAAATGACCTGTGGCAGACTTATAGGTAATTTATTCCATAATTTTAACTAATTAATTTTTTATAGTTATTTAGTTATTTATTTAATTTATACATTTAATCTCTATACATCTTTTAGATGTTAAAGAGACTTTACCCAGTGTGACATTCAATTAATTTTTTTTAGAGATTTTTGCTATAGGGTGCTTGCACTTGCTAGAGAGATAGCGAGAGACAGACAGAAAGCAGAAATCACCCTTCCCCTCACCCCATGAAATGGCCATGCCACAATCTCTTCTCCTCCACTCTTCTCTCAGAAGTTTGAACATGTATGCACATGGCGCCCGTCATGAGTTTCAAGCCACTGGGTCTGGGACTCGAACCACAGTCAGCCACATGAGAGTTCAACACCTCAACCACTACGCCACCTGCTGGCCCCCGTAATTTTAATTTTTTTAAAGAATGTTTCCTAGGCCAGCAAGTAGCACAGAGGTGAAGGCGGCTGGATCTCACATGTCTGACTGTGTAGTTTGAGTCCTGGAACAAATGACCTGAAAATCATGCCAGGCCTGTGTGTGTGCATGTCCAAAATCCCAAGAGGAGAATGGAGGAGAAGGAATTGCAGCATGGCCATCCCCTCTGAAGGGGGAATTCTCACTTTCCCCCTCTTTCTCTTTCTCTCTCTGTCTCTGATGAGCATGTACACCCTATAGCAAAACTAAAACTAATAATAATATTTCCTAGGTGGTGGATCATTAGAACCCTCCTAACTAGTTAGCAGATCTCTTCTGCATAGAGTATGGTGCTCCACTTGAGTCTCTCACCATGGCGAGAGGAATAAGGGAAGGAATAAGGGAGGAAAGAGGAGCAGCCACAGCAAACTTATATTTGTGGGATTTTTTTTAAGGTCATTTATTTCTTTCTTCCATGAGCAAGAGAGACAACGAATGAGGTGGGGGGTGGGGCGCCCCCCTCACAGGGTCTTTACACTGTGATCTACCCCCAGCCTTCCCAACCAGCCCCACCTCGTGGGCACAAGTGTGCCCAGTGTGTTCAGCGAGGTCTCCGAATGTGAACCTGGAACCTTCCCATGTGAGTCAGCCATGCAGCGTGTCCCCGTCCAGACCCTGAAGAGATTTGTGTTTTAACCTCAGCTATATGAGATCATTGTCGTTGATGAATTTAACATGCGCAGCTTTAAACACTCCCAACCCCAACATTTATGACACAGTAACTCCATGAATTGTCTAAGTTTGAATCCCAAATACATTCTACAACATCCCGTGTGGTGCAGATCACTTACGGACAGTGAGTTCTAAGCCCAGCGTTTGTACCTTGGGACAGCTTTGTTCTCTTCTTATTTTTAAAAGCTTCTCTCTTTCTTCTATGAGTGAGAGAGACAGAGACAGAAAGAGAGACAGCACCCACAATAGGGGTGGGCACATGCCTAAAATCCCAAGAAGAGGATGGAGGAGAAGCATGGTCATCCCCCTAGGGGGTGAGTTCTCATTTTCTCTCTCTCTGTCTCTCTGGCAAGTGCATGCACCCTATAGCAAAAATCTCCCTTTAAAAAAAAAAAATCTTTTTCCATGGGGAAGATTCTATGACAGTACTCTTTGTAAACCTGGGAAAGTATAGAGGTCTCTGGCTCCTTTTCCCAACTTGCAGGGTCTACTGATGTTCCAGGAAGATGAAGAGTAAGTACTGTAAACAAATAGCTTTGAGTTTTTCCGGGGAGTCAGCTCACATCCCAGATACTGGAAAATAGGAGATGCCCACTCCCCTTACTTTAGCTGTATGATTCTGACACTTTCTGTCCCGCACCCTGTTCTAAAATGTGACCGGTGTCTGTGTCTCCATAACTGTGACAGTGTTGTAGTCATGATACATCTCTATGTCACCAAGTAATCAACTGGCCTTGAGAACCAGGGTGAGTGGGTCTCTGCATCTTTTGTCAGCACCGCCGTTCATAGAGCAGCAGGATCTGAAGCCAAATTGGCCTCATCCCAAGTCGCTAAACTGCAGTAGAGTAGAGAAGTGCACTTGGTAATGTATTTGGACTCGGTAATATAAGTTCTTAGTAGAGTAAGCATGGTGGTCTGCAAAACACTGCTCAAATACTTAGCAGCTTAGTTCCTCACAGATTTTAAACTGGCATGTAGGAGAATGTGACACGAGCATAAAACTGGAATTATGAAGTGTGACTGCCCTCGTTCGAAGCGCTCCTGAAATCTGTGTCTCCTTGTTTCTGTAGGGTAGTAAGTATGCCCCAGCTTGCCAACAGCCAAAGAAATCGGGAATAGCAAGAGTCACCTTTGACCTTTACAAGCTGAATCCCAAGGACTTCATCGGCTGCCTCAATGTGAAAGCCACTATGTATGAGATGTACTCAGTGTCCTACGACATCCGATGCACAGGGGTCAAGGCCTTGGTGAGGTAAACACTCTGAGGGGCCCACTTTGGGGTCTGGAAACCGCAGGGACCAGCCCAGGTGACTTGTCCTCCACTTGCTCCTCTGTACTGCCGGCCCAGCTCCAGGAGTCCCAGCTGAATCTATCGGTACTCCTGTCTGCCATCTTGAACTCCTTGCTGTCTTAAAATTAACCCCTTCCCTACAGATGTAGTTCAGAAAATGCAAAGAATAAAGCCAATTTTTTTTTCCCTCCAAAGGCCATAAAACCCTAAGTGGGGGGCCAGTAAGTGGCGTGGTGGTTAGAGCTTTGGACTCCCATATGGCCAACTGTGGTTTGAGTCTCAGATCTGGCAGCTTGCTTTCTCACTTTCCCTCTCTCTCTCTGGTCAAATTAAATAATAATAATAATAATAAAATTCTTTTTAAAAGCACTAACTAGAAACAAGATCTTAATAAATACAAGGAAAGAGCAAGTTTCATTTTAGTCACTAGAGTTCATTCTAAGTGAGGGCAGTTAAAAGCATAGCCGTGGGATTCTGTGTGTATAGAGCTGACTCCCAAACCTTGTTGAACTCTGTTGCATATACCCTCTGTGTCACTGTCAGTTTCCACCCAGTTCGTAGGTGGCACTGGCATGTCCCTTCTGCACAGCCTGCAGGATGCCATCCTCCCAAACACTAGGGCCAGGCAGCTTCACAGCATCACAGGAGAGAACTTTTAGAAGATGGATTTCTGCTCTGTACCCCAGAACTGTCAAGTTCTGTGAGTTCAAAAGGAATCCTCCCTAGGCATTCCCGCTCCATACCCAGGCCAGTACTCCTGTCACCAGGCACTGGACTGAGAGGGACACTTGCAGTGAATCTGGCTTTGCCTCTGAGTTACCAGCTGTGTGGCCTTTCAGTTACTGAACTTCTCTGCGCCTCAGTTTCATCATCTTTAAAATGAGAAGGTCGCTTCCAAGGTGTCTATAATTGCCTAGGCTCTCAATTCACCCACTTGTACTCTTCCAGTAAACTCACCAACGAGCCTATAAAGGACTAATTTTCTGTGGAGGGAATGGATGGAAGGAGAGGGGCTGACCACCACAGGAAGGCGGCCAGTAAGTGGCGTGGTGGTTAGAGCTTTGGACTCCCATATGGCCAACTGTGGTTTGAGTCTCAGATCTGGCAGCTTGCTTTCTCACTTTCCCTCTCTCTCTCTGGTCAAATTAAATAATAATAATAATAATAAAATTCTTTTTAAAAGCACTAACTAGAAACAAGATCTTAATAAATACAAGGAAAGAGCAAGTTTCATTTTAGTCACTAGAGTTCATTCTAAGTGAGGGCAGTTAAAAGCATAGCCGTGGGATTCTGTGTGTATAGAGCTGACTCCCAAACCTTGTTGAACTCTGTTGCATATACCCTCTGTGTCACTGTCAGTTTCCACCCAGTTCGTAGGTGGCACTGGCATGTCCCTTCTGCACAGCCTGCAGGATGCCATCCTCCCAAACACTAGGGCCAGGCAGCTTCACAGCATCACAGGAGAGAACTTTTAGAAGATGGATTTCTGCTCTGTACCCCAGAACTGTCAAGTTCTGTGAGTTCAAAAGGAATCCTCCCTAGGCATTCCCGCTCCATACCCAGGCCAGTACTCCTGTCACCAGGCACTGGACTGAGAGGGACACTTGCAGTGAATCTGGCTTTGCCTCTGAGTTACCAGCTGTGTGGCCTTTCAGTTACTGAACTTCTCTGCGCCTCAGTTTCATCATCTTTAAAATGAGAAGGTCGCTTCCAAGGTGTCTATAATTGCCTAGGCTCTCAATTCACCCACTTGTACTCTTCCAGTAAACTCACCAACGAGCCTATAAAGGACTAATTTTCTGTGGAGGGAATGGATGGAAGGAGAGGGGCTGACCACAACAGGAAGCCTCTGAGGCAAGTCTAAAAGTTACTACTGCTGCCATTCCTGTGCCCTCTGAACGCCCCCTGGGCAAGAGCCTGCCTGTTTCTCATTGAGGGCCTGGTTCCTTCTCTCCGCTCTCCCTGAAGGACAGCCCTGTCCTGCCCTGAACACAAACCAGAGAAGTGCTTTGGAGACGAGCCCCCCTCCTCTCATGGTGTCCTGGCCCCACACGGGGTTGGCTTGAGGGGGTTGGCTTGAGCGTATGGCTTTAGTGTGGCTGCTATTTCCTACTGACAGCCATCCACAGCCGGGTCCTACACGATGGTCACTGTTGCAGGGTTGGCATTTTGACTCCCAGGCTGGTTCCGTGTCCTGGTAGCTAAGGTGGCATGGTTGACCCCACTGTTTGATTCTTAGGTCCGTAGCTTGAGAAGCATATCCTGGGGAATGTACACGTGTACCCAGAGTCTCAAAACAGGGAGAGACGGAGGAGAAGGGATTGTGGAGTGACCGTTCCCTGGGGTGGGGTGGTGCTTTCTTCCTCTCCCTTTCTGTGTCCATCTTTCTCTGGTGAGCGCATGTACTCTCTAGTCAAAAAAAAAGGAAGAAAAGAAAAAGAAATCTTAACTCCCAGAAGAGCGATGGGAGCAAATACCATTATTATTTGTTCTTTATGTTTACTTTATTCATAATAGAGAGCACATGCGTACTCATGAGGAACAGAAAGAAGCGCCCTCATCGGGATCTCATTGTCCCGTGACCGCCTGTCCCTGGCGCCCCAGCTTGTCGTGATCTTGGGCATCATACATAGGCCCGCCAGTTTTGAGCCAGCCCAGGGATCCAACCTGCTGGTCGGCCATGTGGCTTCCAGCACAGCCATACCGCCAGACTGGGCTTCTTGTTTGACTTTTAAAGTGAGACAAGAGAGTTTTAACAACTTCGAGCAATATAGTGAAGGGAGTAAATCCCACCTGCAATCCCACCTCAGCAGAATCTATCTTGAAAGGTAAATTCAGCCCTTTTATTGCTCATTCTTACACCTAATAAATCCCAAGGCTCTACAGTCAGCCACAGAGTTCACTAAAACCCCTCAGAGACATCACTCGCCAGGACCTCGTCATGGGGTACAGGGAGCTGTCCCCCTCCATGGTGTGGCATCACCCACAGCTGAGTGTCTCACTACTTAGGAACACGTGGAATTTTAAAACTGGAATGGAATCCTTTAGCTTTGGACCAGGTAGGGGATGAAACCAAGTTAAAGCTTTCCCCCCCCACCCCTGAAGCCTTGGGACTTAGATGCCAGGACAGGGTGAAGCTTTTCCTCCTCTAGCTTTGGAAACAAGTTAAAAGGTCCCAGCCGCCTCCAACAAACGGGTCACAGGATCGTGATTCCAGTTTTTGCTAAGACTTTCCTTCAGCCTGACTTCTCCTTTTATCCTGACCTGACTGATCTCAGTAATATCCACACACACACCAAGTCTTCCAGAACAGCCAAGTAGCTGAAGGACAGGACACAGTATGAGGGGGTCTTCAGAAAGTTCAAGGAAGATACTTATTATGGGGCGGGACTGGGCAATCCTTGAGTGTGGCGGTTAAGGCAACTGGATCCTACATGGCTGACTGCACTGTTTGAGTCCTGGATCGGGTGGTTTAAAAAACATACCAGATGCATGTGCCTGTTTACCCAAAACCCTAAGAGAAGCGAGAAACAGAGGATAAGGGATGATAGTGTGACCAACCCTCATGGGTGGTGCTTTTTCCCTTTCCCTTGTTCTTTTTCTCTGTCTCTCTCTGGCAAGCATATGTACTCTATAGCAAAGTTTAAAACACACACACACAAACCCATCATGCATGGGAAAATTTTACATCAAAATAAACTCGTAAAATTACTATATTTTTCCATGCACTTTTCCAAGCCCCCCGTGTACGCTCTTCAAGAGCAGCAGTCTAGGGGCCAGCAGTTAGCGTAATGGCTATGTCGCTGGACTCCCACGTAGTTGACCGCAGTTCACATCCTGGCCCCAGTGGCTTAAAACTCATGCCAGGTGCGTGCGCCTGCGTGCCCAAGATCCAGAAAGGAGAATGGAGGAGAAGGGATTGCAGTATGGCCATGCCCCCAGGGGGGTGATTTCTTGCTTTCTGTCTCACTGTCTCTCTCTGTCTGGCAAGCGCACGTGCCCTATAGCATAAACCTCTCCCCCCTCCCAAAAAAAAGAGCAGTAGTCTACCTACACAGAGCCTTCTAATTACTAACCAAGCAGGCCACCTTTGGAAGTGGCTAGTGGAAGCTGAGCTGTACAGGAAGTGGTCCTAGGCCAGGCCACCGGCTCCTCCGGGAGTTCACACAGACCTGCCACTCAGGCCTCCTTCATCGGCCTCTCAGTAGCCTTCCTGGAGGACTTGTCTGCCCTGAGAGCAGAGGAGAGCCAAGGCTGTCTGGCTCTCCTCTAAGCTTCTAGGTCTGCTCCTCCTCTCCAGATGTGTACCCCAAGCCTGATACACCCTGTCTTCCTCTCTCTAGGAGCCTGCTGCGGTTCCTGTCCTATGCGGCCCAAGTGACCGGACAGTTTCTTATCTACACGGGCACGTACATGCTCCGAGTGCTGGGTGACGCAGAACAGCCTTCGCTCAGGTCACACTCCAGGGGCCAGTACACGTGTGGATAGGGGTGCACGGCGTAGAAGGCTCAGCTGGCCCCTGGACTCAAATGCTCCCTTTCAAGTGACAAATTTTGAAGATGCTTTTATGTTGTAAACCTCATGTACTTGTAGACTACTGGCCACATCTGCTCAGGAGTGGTGCCAGGTGGAGGGAAAGGGCTTGATGGTATATGAAAAGGGGCCATGCAGTGGGTTCCCGGAGGAGGGAGTGCATGAGGGGCCTTGTGGGCCTAGGAAGGGGCCAGCCAGCAGTGTATCTGGGTGCAGCCTGCACAAGCCTTACACTTGTGTGGTTCTTCAGCTACTGCAATAAACTGATCACAATCATTACTTATAGTATGTGTATACTTTCTTATGTCTCTTTCATTTCTCAAAGCAAACAGTACTTTCATCTAGAAGCAAAACTCAGCTGCAAATATTCTACTAACAGATGCAATTGCTTCTAAGTGTTTATTAGTACTTGGTGATACAAAAATAACCAGCCTCTAGTTGTTATTATATTTTGTGTGTATGTTTTTGTTTTAGTTCGTTTATTTATTTATTTTTGTTTTGTTTTGGCATAGAGCATACGTGCTCACTGAGAGCAACAGAAAGAGACAGAAAGAGGGAAAATGAGGGGCCCACAGGTAGCATGGAGATTAAGGGCACTGGACTCCCACGTGGCCAACTGTGGGTTGAGTCCTGGACCTAGCAGCTTGCTTTCTCGCGTTCCCTCTCTCTCACTCTGTCCCTTTCTGGTCAAATTAGAATGGATGAATGAATGAATAAAATTAAATTAAATTCTTAAAAAATTTTAAAAAAGGGAGAGAAAATGAAAAGTCACCCTCCACTGGTGACGGTCATGCTGCAATCCCTTCTCCTCCCTTCTCCTCCTGGGACTTTGGACATGCACACACACACATACCTGGCATGGTTTTCAAGCCTCCAGGTCTGGGGTTTGAACTGAGATCAGCCGTGTGGGAATCCAGCACCTTAACCACCGTGGTGTGTGTATGTATTTTAAAACAAGGTCTTGCTATGTTACCAGGCCAACCTCAAGCTTGTAATCCTCCTGCCTCAGCTTCCCAAGGAGCAGAGACAAAGGCACACACCACTGCCTGACTTTGCAGGGTGGGCCAAGAATCAAACTTGGACTTCTCATGCGGTCCTAGCCTGCTGAGTAGCAGCTTCCAACATCCACTGTCATAGCTGTGGCCCGTGGTTTGTTTTGGTTTTTAATGTGCATCTTTAATAAGCCCAAAAGCTTAAGGACCTGAAATACTGGAGATCTTCAAGTAGCACTCATGGCCTTTTCCTTAAAGCAAACAAACAAAATCCACTTGAAACCTTGATGGGATTCCACTTGAAACCTGGTGTTAGTGAGCTTCTTCAGCTCCTGATGGTGCCTGTGTCACCAGGCAGGACCCTTGGTTGCCAGGGCAGAGCTCTGCCTCACCTGGCCCAGGAGCTGGGGAGGGCGGCTGTGGCTCTGGCTGCAGGCACCCAGAAAGTGACCTCGCCAGGAATCTGTCTCTCCAGCTCTCGATTCTGCTTTCCTCTGGGTTGAAAGCAAGGTGGCATCCTCAGTCCCACAGCAGGAAGCCCTGGACTGCATCTCTTCTCATCAGGACGCCCAGGATCCCACCTGCAAGTAGGCACCATACACTGAGCTCTCCTCCCCTCCCCTCATTGCCATGCTTCCCTGAGACCTGCCGGCAGGCAACACATAGGTCTCGTAAACATCTTATGACCGTGACCTTCACCTCAGGGAGTTGGCCCACGGCTGGGGTCATCCCAGAGGTGTGTGCACCCCTCCCACACTAACATCACGAGATTAGGGGAACTAACCCTACTCGTACTCTGCCCATTCTGTTCATGGATAAGCTAAACTTTTGTTTTAACCTTCAAACAATGTACATACAGACCCCTGTCTTTATGAGAGGGAATCTGCAGTGCTCTTTGATGGATGAATGCTTTGTTCTAAACATTAGAACCTGAACTTGGCCCGCCAAGTTCTCTGCCTGGCCATCAGTGGAGCATCCTGTCCTCCTTATATAAGTAATAAACTCATGTCTTCCCCTATTGGACCTCCAGGTGTGTCCCTTGGAGTCAGTAAACATTACAGACGAGCCTTCTCAGAGTTGAGGCTTGCCCTAACCACAGGCACATGAGGCTCATGGACTGCCATGCTGGACCACAGGCCCAGACCTGGAGACAGGGAAGGATGGGTCCCAGTCAAATGGACCCAGTGGAAGTGGGCTCCCCAAAAGGAAATGGGGTTCTATTCCTAGAATAAGGGAGAATAGATGCTAGAAGACAAATATATTCCTACTATGATTTAGAATTTTCCTATAAAAAAATGTTGCCAAACGCAACCTCTGTGGTGCATCTGTAATGTGAAGGCCTTGCAAGGCTGGAAACCATGTGGCTGACTGTGGTCTGGATTCCCGGTTTGGCCTGAAAATACACCAGGTAATGCATGTGAGGGTACTCAGAATCCTGAAGAGCTAGAGGGATGGGAAAAGGGAATGTGGTGGGACAAGACCCGATTCTGGGTAATTCTCTCTCTTGTTCACGTGCTATCATTAAAAAGCAAAATTTTAAAAAGTTGCCTTGAGGGACCAGCAGTTGGCATAATGGCTATATCACTGGACTCCCATGTGGTCGACCATGGTTCAAGTCCTGGACCTGGTGGCTTAAACTCACGCTGGGCGAGTGTGCGTGCATGCCCAAGATCCTGAGAGCAGAATGGTGGAGAAGGGACTGTAGCCATCCCCCCTGTGTGGGGTGATTTCTCACTTTCTGTCTCTCTGGCGAGTGCACATACCCTATAGCAAAAACCTCTAAAAGAAAAAAAGTTGCCTTAAAGGCCTTTTTCTTTCCCTCCAGAAACTGTGGAAGAGAAAAAGTACCCCACCCACCCAGTACCATTCCTGCCACTCTTGGCTTGGGCCTGGGCTTTCCTCTTTCACACAGTTAGGAGTCTCCCTCCTATACCAGGTGGCCAGTTCCACCCCAGTTCTGGGCCCTCCCTGCCTCTAAGCTGTGTTCTTGGAGAAGCCAGCCAGGAACTGACAGTGTGGCCAGTAGGAGGGGCCAAAGCAAAAGAATCAAGGTAGCATTTTCTTTTTTTAACACAGTTGAATTTTAGCGTTACCCCTTGCCCCTTCGTTTCAGCCGTTCTAGGCTAGGAGGCTGCAGTCAGTAGGAGAGCTTTGTGAAGATCGCCCAAATGCAGTCCTTGTGCTGTCCCCATGCAAGCCTCCTTTCAAAACGTTTCCTGTGTAAGGAGCTCTCTGACAGTCCTCCCAACCTCGGACTGTCTGAAGTCCCCCTGCGGGAGAGGAGAGTGGCCCGCAGTCTGCTGGCACCTGCAAGCCCACTGAGCCGGGTGCCCCTGCACCACACAGTCCTCTCAGCCCAAGGAGCTCAACTGGCTGGCCTCACTGACTCAGGGCTTGCGTCACTTCCCAAGGATTTCAGCATCCTGGGAAGTGACTGCTGGCTTCCAAAAAAGGAATTTTCACTCAAGAGCCTGATCCCGTTGACTCAGCTCTGAGGCTGGAGACTCAGGCTTTCCCTCACCGAATGCAGAACACCGACAGGCGAGAGGGCCACGCACCCTGCCGGCTTGCAGAGAGGAATTAAGCAAAGGCAGAAGCGGTTTCAACATCAGAGGGGAAGGGATTTAAAAGGGTCGCTTGGTGTTTGGGAATTTCTGGCCAAGCTGTGTTCTGCCTTTCTCTTGTCTCATGTGCCTGTGGTTTACTGGGGTGCTCTGGGATAAGGAGCCTTTACACAGAAGTCTCCGGGAAGGCGGGGGCCTCTAGACTTCCATGATGCTCCAGGCCGGCTGGAGGGCTTAGCTGTCATCAAAGGCTTTGGAGGGCCCTGGGCAGGGCTTTCGACCCAGGAGATGCTGGCAGAATTAAAATCCACCCCTTTTATGGGAAGGGTCTCAGCAGGTGTGGCTCTCTTTCTCTGGTTTGGATTAGGCAATATGCATTCCAAAAGTCACACTTTCTTGTTCTAATCTTAGATTCTCTACAACCCACATTTAGCCCACTAGCTCAGAAGGCGTGTTCCCTGCAGCTGGCAGGAGCGGGTTGGGCTGGCTCAACCCCAGCTGTTCTGGGCTCCAGCGAGCATGGACTCTGCAGGGGTTTGCAAGCCCCCACAACCAAGCCAGTGGCTGAATCCACATTGATGCCATGTGTCTTTTTCAGGGCTTTGTGTCCTGTGTGTCCTCAATGGGTCCAGTTTATTCATTTCTACAGCAAAACTTTGGAAGTGGGGGGGGTGTGGTGAGCAGCTGCAGCGGGACAGGCAGGAGGGGCTGCCGAGAAATGCTGAGCGCTCTGAGAGCCAGCATTCCGCTCCCAAACCAACCAAACAGGGCATGGAGGCAGTGCCTGTGGTCCCGACTGACTGGGAGGCTGGAGCCAAGGATGACCATGGAGCAAGACTGTTGAAAATACTGCTCTCTCTCTCTCATTAAAAAAAAAAAAAAAAAAAAAAAAACCCTTTTTATTTTAATTAAAAAGGGGAGCCACACA